GTAAACTCAGATAGAAAGAAATGTACTAACGGTTTGCTTTTTTTTGTTTAATTTCTTAGGTTTGAAGAAGTTTTTTAGTATGGTGGAAACATTTTTTCATTTAGGGGGTGGGAATTAAATATCTGATAGACTGAACTCCAGTCTTGTATATATTCTCTCTGCTAATACCCTTTCCCACTGGAATACTGTGCAGATGCAAGTTTGTATATCTTGAATTTAGTGTTACAAATGGACAGACAACCTCCATCCTCAGGAAGTTCAGATTTGATGGAGAGGACAGGTACTTAGTAGGTTATATAGTATCAATAAAGGATTAGCAGTTTCCAGAGGCTCTGAGGCCATATTATGTGTAATATGGGGAGGAGCTATCTGAACAGCATTCTAAGCCAAGTAGTAGCGTGACCGAGAGGGAAGACAACTTGACTGGAGGAATTACCGACTTCCTGCCTGGGTTGATTGTTAATTGGCAAGAAATGGAATCCTCAAAGACTTTACAGATTACAAAATAGTTGAGTGTCTCCCTTTTACTTTGCTCTTTATCAGAAATGTGAATTTAAGAAGTGGTTGTTACCTTCAAGAAGCTCAGATTAGTGAAGAAAACAATTGGTGCAATGTTGTGTTGAGTGTGTGGTATGCAAAAGGTTAACTTTGCAAGCGAAAACAATCTTTTTAAAAAAAAAAAAGATTTAGGGCCTCCCCGGTGGCGCAGCGGTTGAGCGCTGGGTTGCGAAGCTGCCCGCGGCCTCTGCGGCGCCGGTTCGATCCCCGGCTGCCTCCCGGCCACAGGAGGAGGGTCCCACATGGCGCGCAGACCTCCCCTGCCGCCCGCTGCTCCCCTCAGCAGTGTACTTCGGTCCTTCTGCCTGTTCTGCTCCCCGCTCTGGCTCTGGTGAATTCTCTCACCCTCCCGCGCTTCTGACTGTACCCAGTGCATGTATAAACGAAAGAAAGAAAGAAAGGAGGGAGGGAGGGAGGGAGGGAGGGAGGAAGGAAGCATGCCTCTATAAAAAAAAAAAAAAGATTTATTTATTCATGCATATAAGAACCGGGGTACAGGCCAGATGTGTGGGAGGGTGAGAGGATTCACCAGAGACAGAGCGGGGAATACAACAGGCAGATTGACTGAAATACACTGCTGAGGGGAGCAGCGGGCGAGACAGGAGAGGTCTGCCATGCCATGTGGATACCTCCGGGGCCGGCCAGAGGATCGTACCCACACTGCAGAGACTGGGGGCAGATTCCCAGCACTCCGCTCAACTGCCTGTGCCACCAGGGAGGCCCCAATCTTTTTCATTAGCTTTAACTAATTGATCTATAGAATAATGTTTCATACTTGTCAAGTAACTTAGGTCACTAGTTACAACAGAGGAGGAACTGAGACCTGGAGAAATATCAGACCCCAGTACTTCTATTAACAAAGATTCTGTACATTTACAGTATGGTTCCTTTCTGGAGTGTCTCTAGCAGTAGACTAAGAAAGTAACTATCATTAACTGTTGGCAAACTCTTTATGTTGAACCTACACTTAATGTGACACCAAAGCCAAGCAGGTGTTCTTGCTTTACTTGCGCATTAAAGCCCTAAAGTGGCTTAACATGCTTTCCCATTTACAAGATAAAAACCCCAAATTATTCAGTGTTCTTCGTATGACATGGCTTTCACCATCTGGTTACCCTCCTTTATGTTGTCTCATAGGAAAAAAACTCTGTTGATACACGGACCCAGAAATTGTACCAATATTTTAGTTGCCATCACACCAACGTAGATATGCCAGCAGTTTCTGATCTTGTGCATTAATTATTAGAGGTTAAGATTTAAGCCCCCTCTTCTGAATACTTTCCTTCTTTTCGTTCCGTGTCCCATTTTCCTTGATCCTAATGCAGAAAATTATCAACTTTGTATTTATGATAATACTGTTTCTCGTGTCTCCTGTGACTAAAAAAATTGATATTTTTGCTAGAACAAGGTAGGCATTGAATATGCATCTCTAAAAGGCTGAAAATGAATCAAGTCCTTTTTTTAAAAAAATGATTTATTCATGCATACAAAAACCGGGGTACAGGCCAGATGTGCGGGAGGATGAGAGGATTCACCAGAGACAGAGTGAACAGAACAGGCAGAAACTGCTGAGGGGAGCAGCAGGTGAGACAGGAGAGGTCTGCCATGCCATGTGGGTATCTCCCCGGCAGGCTGGGATCGAACCCGCACTGCAGAGGCTGCTGACAGCTTCACAGCACTGCACTCAACCTGTTGTACCACCGGGGAGGCCCCCATTTATTTCTTATCTTACTCTTTCAGTTGTGGTTAAATAAAATAAAATTTATCATTCTAATCATTTTTAACCATACAGTTCAGTGTATGATTCACATTTTTATACACCCAATCTCCAGAACTCTTCCTCTTGCAAAACTGAAACTACACACCTTAACTTCCCAGCCCTGGAAGCCACCATTCTTTCTGTGTCTATGATTTTGGATGGTCATATTTTTTAAATTAATTTTTCTAATAGAATGGTATCTTTGAATATAAGGTGAGCTGCTTATCGCAAAACATAGTTGGAGCATAGTTCACAGTTTTGCAGTAAAATGAGAAAATAATTCATCTTTGGTAGACTAAAAAACAGAAGGCAGGGCCTCCCCGGTGGTGCAGTGGATTGAGCGCAGCGCTGTGAAGCTGTCCGCAGCCTCTGCAGTGCATGTTCGATCCCGGCCAGCCGAGGAGCAGCCCACATGGTGCAGCAGACCTCTCCTGGCTCACTCGCTGCTCCCCTCAGCAGTGTATTTCAGTCAGTCTGCCTCTTGTGTTCCCCGCTCTGGCTCTGGCTCTGGTGAATCCTCTCACCCTCCCACACATCTGGCCTGTACCCCAGTTCTTGTATAAATAAAATAAATCTTAAAAAAAAACCCAAAAAACGGAAGGCAAAATTCCTTAAAAACCATTATTTTTTATCTCAAGCCAAGGATGTGCCTATACCTGACTCCACATCTTAGTTCCAGACATGATTCCAGAATTCACTCCTACCTCATCATTTTTGCATATTATTTAGAAACTGCAGCTGTGCTTGCATTTTGATTGTCCTGTGTGGTGGCAGGAAGGGCACAGAGCAGGTTTTTCTATGATTCTATGCAGATGGGTGAAGGAGGAGTCCTGGAGCCCTCAGTGGCTTTTGCAGGCTTTTTTTGGGATTTACCAGGTACAGGGGCAGGTAGGGGTGGGGGGGGGAAGGGGGACAGGAGGCTGGCAGGCCTTCCAGCCCAGGGCAAATCTTCACTCTTCCTAGGCTCTCCGCCATTCTCTCGTGGCCTCTGCTTCTCTGCTCCTTTCGCTCTTTCTCTCTTCCACTCTGGTCTCTCTCTTGCTCTGCTCGCTCTCTGCTATAAGCTCTGCTGGCGTCCCCTGTCACCGCCCTTATAAGCCCAGTTTCAGCCCAGGTGTACCCACTTACGCATGCCCACACCCCACTCCAGGTACCCACCATCAGGTATGCATTCAGGACCGCAGGGATCCATCATCAATCCTAATGGTGGGAGGGCAGAAAAGCCTGATGCTTTTTTACCTTACCCTACACCTGTCTTTGAATTTATGGTATCTTCATCTATAAAACCAGGAATATCCTTCTGCTCAGGTTTAAGTGTGGTTGCTGTCCTGTTATTTTAATCCTTTCAGCTCACTTGTTGAGTATGCATTTAGTTCCAGTGTATTTTAAGTACATCAAAAGCCTCAATGTGCTGATGTTTTCATGGAGGCTTACACAGAGAAGGGGACATTTTAAACTTTCAGACTTAAAATATGAAGTAAGAAAATGTAAGTTAAAGGACCTCCCTGGTGGCGCAAGGGGTTAAGCACTGAACTATGAAGCAGTCCGCAGCCTCTGCAGCACAAGTTCAATCCCCGGCTGGCCAGGGAGCAACTCACATGGCGCAGCAGACCTCTCCTGTCTCACCCGCTGCTCCCCTCAGCAGTGTATTTCATTCAGTCTGCCTGTTATGTTCCCCACTCTGTCTCTGGTGAATCCTCTCACCCCCCTCAATCTCTGTCCTGTACCCCAGCTCTTGTATGCATAAATAAATAAATTTTAAAAAGAAAAGAAAATGTAAGTTAAAGATCCCTTTCCTAGTCGGAAGTAATTGAAATCCTTTATAATTTCTAAGATTTTCATATTTTTCTTGTAGATGGACCCCTTAATGAAAAGTATGTTTTGAATTAATTGGTCATTTAATTTTTCCTTCTAAGTAAGACTTAACTGTCATCATAATTTGTTCTATAACATAACTGTTTAAAAATCACATAGCCTTGAAAAAAGCTGAGTAATCTTGTTTATGGTATGCGTGTCTATGTTTATATAGCAGTAAAACTCAAATAATGTTTGCAGGTTTGGTTTGTGTTTTTTGGTGTGTGTTTTTTAAGATTTTCTATTTATGCATACAAGAATTGGGGTATAGGCCAGAGGTGTGGGGGCTGAGAGGACTTACCAGAAAGGGTGGGGAGCAGAACAACAGGTGGGTCTACTGAAATACACTGCTGAGGGGAGCAGCGGGAGACAGGAGAGGTCTGCTGCTCCATGTGGTTAGCTCCCTGGCTGGCCAGGGATGGAACTGCAGAGGATGCCGATCGCTTCATAGTGTTGCATCTTAACCCCTTGCACTACCAGGGAGGCCCTGGTTTGTGTATTTTTGCCATTATTTCTGCATGACAACTTAAGCTATAGTTTAGCTCATTTTACTGTTTTATATTTGTTGGGAGGTGCAAGGTTGTTTTGTAGGAAAGAATAGCATTTAAGCTAGGACTAAGATGAGTAATGTGAGAATTGTAGTTTGGGAATACCTTTGGTATAAGTAGCCCTTTGCTGTGACAAATGCAAGTTGGGGGAGAGGGCTGTTGAAATATAATTTTCCAGCAGCTAGTCCTAATTCTGTTTATGAAGTAATAATGTGGATACACTTATCTTAGAAAAATTCTACATTTCTGTCATCTTAATTATAAGTCTCTTCTTTCTACAGAAATAGGAAGGTCGTTGATTATTCACAGTTTCAGGAATCTGATGATGCTGGTAAGTTTTGTGATTTCAGTCCCTTGTCAGTAGTACCAGCTGGTAGGGAAAATGCCAGTTTATAAACTTTTTCATCACGATTTTGAAATTTTTTTTTTTTACATTTAAAATATTTATGTATGTAAATTATGTCAACATCTGTCGCCCAAAACAAAACTTAAATTTGCATGGATTTTAACTTTTCTTTAGTAAATCATTGATAATAAGCACTTGAATAATTTTTTATTATTTGCTGTTAGTGTCCAAAGTTTGAACATACAATAATTACAATGCAGTGTTTATTGATTAACTGTAATTACATTAAAACTTGTACCTTGTAATAAGGAATATTTAAGTTTTTTGCATAATAACAGTAACTAGGGTTGAACCAACAATGTATTATGAAACAACTTTTGTGAACTAATTTGTATAGAATGAGTAGTGTATTTTAAATCTTAGCCATAAAAGCTTTCTTTATAACTTTTTTTTAAAAGAAATTAATTATTTTTGTGTAGAATAATTGGGGTGTAGGCCAGAGGTATAGTGGTGAGAGTTTTCACCAGAGACAGAGTGGGGAGCAGAACAGGCAGATTGACTGAAATACTCAGCTGAGGGGAGCAGCGGTGGGCAAGACAGGAGAGGTTTGCTGCACCATGTTGATCAGCTTCCTGGCTGGGGATCAAATTCAGCCCATATGGGTGATAGCTCTGAGACTTAACCCCTCTGCCACCAAGGAGGCCTGCCCCTTTCTTTAGAACTTGTTCTTAATCTCATTATTTTCTGGATAGACTTAACAATTCTTTTTTCTTCTTTTAAATCTAATTTTATTTTATAAAGATACTATGTATCTTTGGGAAAACTTAGAAAATGCCAGAAATGTATAAAGAAGAATTTAAAAAAGTAACAGTCTAAACCTCCCAGAGGTAATACTAAAGTATATGTATTTCATAACTGATAATAAATATTTGCATTTATTCATTTAATCCTTAGAAAAATCCTGTTAAGATGGGATTTACTATTATTATTTCCACTTTATCTGTAAAATAAAGTAAGTGGAAATAATTTAAGCAGAAATATTACTCAAGGTCCTTCGCCAGCAAATAGTTTTTTTGAGGACCTTTTTGTCTAAAATTTTATTTCTTTTTTTCTTCTTTAAAAATGTAGTTAAGGGGCCTCCCCAGTGGCGTAGCGGTTGAGCGCTGGGCTGCGAAGGTGCCCCCAGCCTCTGCAGCGCCGGTTTGATCCCCGGCCGCCAGCGAGGGTCCCGCATGGAGCGACAGACCTCTCCTGTCGCGCCCACTGCTCCCCTCAGCAATGTGCTTCAGTCCTTCTGCCTGTTCTGCTGCCTGCTCTGGCTCTGGTGAATTCTCTCACCCTCCCGTGCTTCTGACTGTACCCAGTGCTTGTATAAATCAATCAATCAATCAATCTTAAAAAAATATATAAAGTCTTACTATAGAATTTTGGATTCTGTCCTACCTCACCTCTTTGTCATGTTATTAAATTATTTGAAAAATTCATACTAATGGTTACATGATAATCCATGTCATCATTACTATTTTATGATAGTCCATAATGGAATGGTCTATGTATCCAACCATTTAATAATTGCTAATGTGACAGATTGCTTCCAGATAGCAAAGAGTTTTGGAAATAATCTGATTTTCTTTAGTGTTATGGGATTTTTGAAATTAAAAGTACTTTCCCTAACTGCCAGAGCATGCTATATTTAATACTTTAAAGGTGATTTACTTGATAGCAGTAATTTGCGTTCTAAAGTGCTTATAATATAACCTTATTTGAAAATTATTATAGCAATAAGTATGAAGATTTAAAACAAAGATTTCTAATAGAAGGGTAAGATATAAAATGATACGAGATATTTGGCTATGGCTGTATTAAAAATATATACATGAGGGCACATGAGTAATAGACAAAATTGGAAATGATTGAGTTAAGGTGGTAAGACTGAATCAGGGCCCCAAGTTCAGATTGATAAATGGCTTGGGGCACCCTGTTCCTCAGTGACCACCTGTACCCCATTTCCTAACTTCCTTACCCAAGACTAGAGAATAGTAAGTAATTTAGTTACAAAAAATGAAAGAAAACTATTTGGGGTATTCTGTGCCCTCAACATTGAAATGGCGTGAGAGATAATTATCTTAGTGAATACCGTGATAATTTCTATATGTAAAAATCATAATATGGCTCATTGGGACTGAAAAATACTCTTTTTAGATGAAGACTATGGAAGAGATTCTGGCCCTCCAGCTAAGAAAATTAGATCATCTCCCCGAGAAGCTAAAAATAAGAGGCGATCTGGAAAGAATTCACAGGAAGATAGGTAAGAGGCTTTATTAATCTGTTCCTAGTCACAGTCTCTACTCTGTGGTGAGGGTAGTTTCTGATCTCTCTCTCTCTTTTTTTTTAATGCATACAAAAGCTGGAGTATAGGCAAGAGGTGAGGATTGAGGGGTGGTGAGAGGATTCACCAGAGACAGAGTGGGGAGCAGAATAGGCAGATCTACCGAAATACACTGCTGAGGGGAGCAGTAGGAGACAAGAGAGGTCTGGGGCGCCATATGGGTAGCTCCCTGGCTGGGGATTGAACTCATGCTGCAGTTGCTGCTGATAACTTCATAGAGCTGAGACTTAACTCCTTGCACCACCAGGGAGACCCAGTTTCTGATCTCTAAATTGGTGAAGTCTCCATTGATTCAGGCAGGGAAGTGCTTTTTATCCACTGGATGTTGTTTTGCACATTCATATTTTCTCAGGCATCACTCTGGGTCCAGAGGTTAGCTTCTTCAGGGTCACAAGGCTTTATTGGACTCAACCTAGAATCCAAGGTGATATCTCCAAGAATGCCTTTGTTGCTGCCTCAAACCTTTGAACATGAGCGGAGAGATTGTTTATCTAATTTGTTACCTGGGGTTAGTATTGACAGTTTTCATTGTAGTGATAGCAGAGAATAAGTATCCTATCCCATTCAGTCACAAATCTCTGGGAAATCATAACTAGGGCTTACAGAAGTTTACATTGTATGCTGTACAAAGTTTTACTGCCCATAATACTCATTAGTTTAAATAATTTAATCAAATGGGGCAGTTTCCCTGGCCTTACTTTTTATAAATAAGCTTGAGTTGTAATTTTAGCTGTAATTGGCTTATGATACCAGGATATTTTAGCTATAATTGTTCTTACATTATATACACACGTCTCATATAAAGCACGACTTTTAGGCCTCCTTGATGATGATGAAGATGATAGCTACCATTTATGATTATTATATGCTTTATATTATCTAATTCTCACTAACCTTTATTGAGGTAAGTAATGTTAACTTCAAGGGGTTCCATGATTTACCCACAGTTATCCAGCAGTTAGACCAACAGGTTTTATTTTTGATTTATTTTTTTTCTCATTAGTAGTTTTTTCTTTAATATTTATATATTGTATATATGGTTTATATCATTGTTCATTTTTGTATAGTGTTTGATTTCTACTCTCCAATGTAGTCCCCATAAAATTCCCACCACCAAGTCACCAGTGAACCATCACCATAGATCCTTGTGCTCTTCCTGCCCCATTTTAATCCTTCCTTCCAGGCAGTATTCTGTTGATTTTTCTGTTGGTCTCTACTTAAAAGTTCAGCTTTTAGTTGATTTTCCTGTAATGGGATTCAAGGATTAAGCCTGTAAAGTCAATAGTGAAAGAACTAGAGAAAAATGATAGAATTCTTGTGAATTAAATGCTCACTTTATACTAAAACATTTATTTAGAACAGTCTCAGGTTTCTGAATTATAGTGTGTCTCACATCAGATTGCTTAGTAAAGAAATATGTTTGATTTTTCTCTTTGCTTATGAATCTTCCGTTCATTAGTTTGTCATTTGAGTGTGGTCTGGATTATGGGATATAGCACAGGAGATTTAGACCTGCTATTGAGAAAGGCAAGCTGTACAGGCAATTTTCTTGTATGAATTTTTCTTTTATTTATTTGTCAGAATTTCTTCTGGAATCATAACATTTTTATTGCTAAAGAGTACCAGTAATTTGCCCAGGATCATGAAATTAATTTTTTTTTTTTTTTTTTTTTTTTTTTTTAGAGCAACTGGGGTGTAGGCCAGAGGTGCAGGGGATTGAGAGGATTCACCAGAGACAGAGCGGGGAGCAGAACAGGCAGATCTACTGAAATCCACTGCTGAGAGGAGCAGCAGGCGAGACAGGAGAGGTCTGCTGAGCCATATGTGGTTTAGCTCCCTGGCCAGGGATCGAGCTCAGGCCTTGGCAGTGATAGTGCTGAGATAGGCCACCAGGGAGGCCCTCAGATCATACAATTAATTAATGACAAAGAAGGGACACTAGAACCCAGATTCCTAAGTATGGATTTAAAAGGAGTATCTTTGTCACTAAAAAAAATTGTTTTGTAAAACTTCCCATTGAATTTTGAAACTCCTTCTTATTTTACTTTGAGTGACTTTGAGGTCACTCACTGTTTCCATTACACAAGGTCTATATATGCATTGATGTTTCTGATATGGAAATAATGGAAATAAACAATAGCGGGAGATCATTAATTGCTTATTTTCATTTTGCTCTAGATAAATTTTTAGCTCTGTTGCCACATACATAACTGAGTTCCAATTTCCTTTACTAATTGCATTTTGTGGGTTTTTTTTTTTTTTTTTTTTTTTTGCAGCTGTATTAGGTGCTGTCCATTTATTTGCCTTCTTACTATTATTCATATATTATTTATTTTTAGTATTTTGTGCTGTGCCTCTGACAACAGAGGATTTTTTTTTTCTTATTCAATGTTCTTGTGAACCTGTCCTCAGCCTTAAGTGAGGCATTTTCAGCCTGGGTTTAGATAGATCCCTTCTTTTTTTCCTTTGGGTCTTTGGTTGCAGTGTTTTCTGAAAGTAGATAAAATTATGCCTACTCACATCCTTTAAGTAAAGAATAATGGAAGCAGTGTCACTCCTCAGCATCTGTTGGAGTATTTTATATGTAAAAGAGGTGTTCTTCAGTGTTCTCCCTCAGAAACCAGGAACCGAATATTCAATTTTTATCTAAAGCTTTTAAGCATTTACTTTTTCCCCTTTACTCTTACAGTGAGGACTCTGAAGAAAAAGATGTGAAGACCAAGAAGGATGATTCTCATTCAGCAGGTAGAAAACTGTTTTTAATATAATAGGTGTAATTCCTTTTTATGTATTTATTCGTTGGCTGTTTTAATAAGCAGTTTCATAATAATGTCAGGCACGTTGAAAATGCATCTTTGAAGATATCTTCATCTTCAAAGAATTTATAGTGATTTTCAATCCTCGTGACTGCTATTACTGTCACCTTTAATGCTTTATTTATTTACCTTTTACATACTCATGCTTAGTCCTACTCCAGGATTTCTTTTCCAGGAGGTTTACTCCATTAAGGCTTTGGTTTTTTTAAGTGTTTACAGATGATCTCATGCATAGACAAGATTTTGAAAATCATGGTGACGTACATCTAAAGAGCTATGAACAAACCTCTACCCCTAAATCCTATAGAGTGTTATAAACCAACACTACTTCAATACAGGATAATACAGTTTTAACAAGAAAGAAAAAAGATTGAAACCATGTGCATGAACAAATAAGATCTCAAATTACAGACAATGATAATGTATATAATACTAAGTAAAAGAGGTATGAAAAGTGAGAGTGATTAACTATGGTTGAAAAGCAAACTAAGGTTAGTTTCAGGCCTGTTTTTAGCTGGAAAGTAGTCTTCTGAAAAAGCCACAGAGAAAGTTGGTTTTTTGTTTTGTTTTGTTTTGTTTTTCAGAATTTTAATGTGAAAATGACCAAATAAAATGTTAAACCTTGATTGTTTAATGTTGGCCTTTTTTTTTTAAATTTCAATCTCCTAACAATTGAGAGTTTATTCCATATTAACCTATATTCACTGGCTTTTGCCTTCCTGGGTCTCCCTTAAACAAGATTGCTATTTATTTAGTTGATATGTAGCGGGTCAACAAAGTTCCTTTGAATTCACTCCACTGCGCTGTTTGCTGTCATTCCTTTTAAAGGCTGTTTGACAGCACAAGTTGGAAAGAAATTCTGTTATCCTTTCAAATTGTGCAGTGATGTTGTGATAATACACACTTATATTCATCTGCCTGGTGAACTCTAATGTATTGAGCATTTCGATATGAATTCATTTGTACTAGTGGTAAGCACAGCTCTTACCAGCTGGGTTTAGTTTTAAGTCTACCAAAATCAACTTTCCTGTATCTCTTGTCTCTAGATAAGATTTTTAGCAGTGAAAACTGTGTCTTAAACACTGACTGTGGCACAACTTAAAAGACCAGTAGTGTTGCCAAGTGAGTAACCACTAACACTTTAAAGAACAAGGGAGCCTCACAATCCAAAAAAGGTCTATAGGCAGAGACTTATACAAATATACCTTGGTCTAGAACGAGTAGACTGGCAGCCTGCCCTTGAACCAAGTTTATTCACAAATGCAACTGCAAGTCAAAATTTTTTTTAATTTAGGGCCTCCCCTGGTGGCACAGCAGTTGAGCGCTGGGCTGTGAGGCTGCCGGCAGCCTCTGCAGCGCTGGTTCTTTCCCTGGCCGCTGGCAAGGGTCCCACAAAAATAAATAAATAAATAAATAAATAAATAAATAAATAAATAAATAAAGAACAGTTGTTATTTGGTGTGATGATATATATTTTTAAAAAAAATTTTTTTTTTAAATTAAAGTTGATTTCAAAAATAAATGAAGTTGATTTGATCTAAGTGTGTGTTTTAAAGTTTCCCTTAATTCCTTCTAAATTAAAGGGGCCATACCTCATTCATTAAAAAGGGTAATAGTTTGACATTATTTTAGGGTCTACGTTTTTTGTATTTTTAAAGTAAGTGTAATTTTGTCCCCTCTTCTATTATTTAAAAATATATTTCTGACTTAAGTGCCTAAAAACTGTGAACATAGTTTTGAGTATAGTTGAAAATTTTAGGACAACGCAATGATTATTTGTTTAAAATATGTTATAGGAAACATGTATTTATGTCTAAATTCAGTTTTATTGCTACTTAAAACTACATACAGCCTGCTGCTCCCCTCAGCAGTGGACTTCAGTAGATCTACCTGTTCTGCTCCCCACTGTGTCTCTGGTGAATCCTCTCCCTCTTCCTGCACTTCTGGCCTACATCCCAGTTCTTACATGCAAAAATAACTAAAAATAAATCTTTAAAAAAAAAACTACATTCCTAAGCTATTTTATATATGACAATGGGTACATAGTCTTATTCAAGTTCATTCTTTGAAGTTTAGTCCTTTTGTATATTTTTTTTAATAGATTTTCTCTTTTTTTTTAATATTTATTTATTTACTTATACAAGCACTGGGTACACTCAGAAGTGAGGGAGGGTGAGAGAATTCACCAGAGCCAGAGCTGGGAACAGAACAGACAGACTGACGAAGTACACTGCTGAGGGGAGCAGTGGGTGTGGCATGAGAGGTCTACGCGCCATGTGGGACCCTCGCCCGGTGGCCGGGGATTGAACCGGTGCTGCAAAGGCTGCGGGCAACTTCGCAGCCCAGCGCTCAACCGCTGCGCCACCGGGGAGGCCCCCTTTTGTATATTTTGTGGGAATTTATTTCCATACATAGTTTGAATTTTTGAAACTATGATGAGAGCTTTTACGATCAACTCTGTAACTACTTGAAATATTTAATATGGCATTCTTATTAACTCTAGCCACATTACATCCTCCAGGGCTTATTTCGTAACTGGAAGTCTGCATTTTGACCACCTTTCATGGAAATTTTTTTTTTTAAGATTTATTTATTTATGCATACAAGAACTGGGGTATAGGCCAGAGGTGCAGGGAGCGGGGGTTGTGAGAGGATTCACCAGAGGCAGAGTGGGGAACAGAACAGGCAGGTTGATGAAATACACTGCAGTGAGCAGTGGATGAAACAGGAAAGGTCTGCTGTGCCATGTGGGTTGCTCCCTGGCCAGGAATCGAACTTGTGCTGCAGTGGCTGTGGATAGCTTCAGCTTCATAGGTTGCATCTTAACCCCTTGTGCCACCAGGGAAGCCCTCATGGAAATTTTTAAGGTTAGATTCCACCCTTTTTGAGTGAAAGAGAGAGGCAGGTTCTACCTCACGTTGACACTGTCGTCCCTTTTCTAGTCAGCTGCCAAATACACTTACAACTCTTTGGTCACTGCATCGTAACTTTGATATTGTAGAGGACAGTGAAGATGAAAAGGAAGATCATAAAAATGTGCGCCAGCAACGACAGGCGGCATCGAAGGCAGCTTCGAAACAGAGAGAAATGCTTCTGGAAGACGTGGGCAGTGAGGAGGAGCCGGAGGAGGAGGATGAGGCGCCGTTCCAAGAGAGTACGTGCCATGGTGGGCTCCCAGGCGGCTGTGCTTCCTGCGGGATTGCTTCAGCGCTTTCGTGTTGCCCGTTGCAGCAGGTCGCTAAAGTAGATACTCACTGTTAGAAGAGATGGTTGTTAATATCAGTTTTAAAAGGTAGATATTAAGCAGTTCAGAGACTTTACAATGATGACGTCCGTCGTTTGTATTTCAATACTGAATGAACAATAGACAGGTAGCGGCAGTATAGCGATTAACACAGTCTTCAAAAGAAAGTAAAAAGATTGAAACCATGTGCATGAGCAAATAAGAGCTCATGTTAGGATTTCCTGTTTGGGCCTGGTAGAGAAGGTTTCAGACCTTTCTCCCATTAAAAAATATTTCTGAGGTAGTATTGGTTTACATTGTTAATGTTTTTAAGGGATGGGCTCTCCCCCTCAGGTGGTGTTCCTAGCCACATGAACCGCCAACATTAAAAATACTAATATCAGAATTTAGGTGTTTCACAGGTTACTCAGATTAAACATAAGTATGTTTTCTTGTTTCTTTTATTCATAGTTGGACCAAACACACCAAGTCAATTAGGTTTCATTTCCCTGGTAGCACCACTATTATATGGGAGTGATGGAACTACCAGAGTTATTTGATGGTTTTTGTTTTTATTCAGATTAAGTCTCATCTCTTACTGTTTTCCAACCTCCTCTTCAAATAAGTCAGTCACACCCCGTGTGCTGCGTGTAATAAGCCTGTTTTTTACAGGTGGGGCCAGCCATGACACCAGCCTCACTGGCAGCGCAGCTGCAAACTAGAGTCCAAGAATGTTTGGCTCCCAAATCCCCCCACTAGTTGTTCCTAGCACTCTGTCCCTCTGTTCACTCACAAGGCTATAGGCATTAAGTTGGATTCTTCTTTCCTCTCAGAAGATTCCGGCAGCGATGAAGATTTCCTAATGGAAGATGATGATGATAGTGACTATGGCAGTTCAAAAAAGAAAAACAAAAAGATGGTTAAGAAGTCCAAACCTGAGAGAAAAGAAAAGAAAATGCCCAAACCCAGGCTAAAGGCTACAGGTGAGCTGAGTTGACATTATTTACGGCTTTGAAAATTTTCAGTACCCAATCCTGTTTTTCTACAGAAATTCTTCATGAGGGGCTGGTAAGAGTAAAAGGCTTCTGAAAAGGGGCCTTTCTTCAGGAAACCACCTTAAAGTGTTAACCTGTGAAGAACAACTCCACCCCGCCCCAGGAATCTAGCGAATAGCCCTGCTCTCACCTGCCACCGTGAGCGAGATTTGGAGGGATTGTGTCGGGCACAGTGGTGAAAAATGCATTAACCATGATCCCTGCTCCTAACAGCTAGTGAGAGCGTAAAAATGCAAGCGCACCCCTCAGTGATCTGACCCCCACCACCTTCTGCCTTAGCAGAATAGAAACTTCCTGGACAACACAGATTCTTTGAGCTTTTCTGGGTTCTACCAGATTTTCTCTTCGTTGCAACTACTTTGTCATTAAATGAAAAAATTGAGTTTGGTTTTTTGTTTTTTTTTTTAAATTCTGCCAAATAGAACTGGTTATTTCTAAAATCAGTGCTGACTGTTGGGAATGATAGAACTATCGAAAGTTCTTTGATGGCTTCAGTCTCTACTCAGATCAAGTTGTCGCCTTATTGTTTTTTACTCACTTTTTAAACATAAACAATACTTTTAGTTTCACAAAAGTTGTGATGATGTGCAGTTTCTACAGCCTGACATCTCTTAGAAGCTTTACTGCTAACATAACAAACATTACATTGATAAAAGTAGGTGAAAGACAGATGCCGAATGATCTTAGTATTTGCAGAATATAAATAACCAAAGAAGACATCCTGGCAAAAATAATTCTTAGAGTCTGTGGAAAATACACTGGTTCCCAGAAGGAATGATAGGACACAGGGGAGGGAAGGAAGGGGATGGGTCATTGGCACAGGATCTTTGGTGGAAGGTCACACCTGCACAAATGGAGGTGTGAAAGTGTACCCCCAAAGTTACATAGATGTGTGAAGGACCCAAATTAATAATTTAAAAAAGTGATTGGAAACCACTTTAGTGTACTGCATGTTTTCATGGTCAGTTTAGAAATTGAGATGGGTTGATCTGGGGATGCATATACTTTAGTAAGTATATGGTTTTTAGTAAGTTGGCCTGTTGAGTCAAAAACAAATTTTATTCTCACAAATTGCTTTGTGTTATAGCTGATTTTTATTAAAGGTGTTTTCTTCTGCCCCTTGCCCCAATTGGTGTTTTTCTTCTTTCAGTGACACCAAGTCCAGTGAAAGGCAAAGGGAAAGTGGGTCGCCCCACAGCTTCAAAGGCATCAAAGGAAAAGACTCCGTCTCCAAAAGAAGATGATGAGGAACCGGAAAGCCCCCCGGAAAAGAAAACATCTGCAAGCCCTCCACCTGAGAAATCTGGGGATGAAGGGTCTGAAGATGAAGCCCAGTCTGGGGAAGATTAAAAGTGATGATGATTTGGGAAGAGATTTTATTAAAAAAAAAAAAAAAAAAAGAAAAAAGAAGGGGGAAAAGAAAACCTACTTAAGATAGAACATGGTTTTGGCTATGGCTTGACTCATGGGCTTTCAATGCTTTTTTTCCTTTTATTGAAAATAACTTTTTCTCTCCTTTTTTTTTTTTTCCTTTTTAAGAAAACCATTGTACGTTTAATTTGCCTTTCTGTCTCTTGCTCTTCTCTTTGCCACCGACCCTCCCCCCTTCCCCAATGAAAGCCTTGTCAAATAATCACTGGATTGATTGCTTCATCTTTTTGTTTTTAATGGAAGGTATACCACAATTGTAAAGCAATAAGATTTGAGGTGAACACTATGAAAATTTTGCTTTTTGCTAAACCGTAGCAAGTTGAACAGTAATCAAAATATGTAAAAAGTTTTAGTTAAAAGATGCTTCTTTCATTCTCTACCTGGACTTTGAAAAAATTGATTGTCACCTAATACAATTTATCTATATATACAGGTATAGATATCTAAAAATAATCATGACTTTAATCTTCCACTGATGGGGCAAGTAGGAGATCAAGATGAATTCTGAATTGTTGCTAAAAGTATTCATGTTTTTTACTGGGAGGCAGGGTAGGTGGGGGTGGACCTTCCTGGCCTTACTTTAGGATGTGAGTTTGTTTTTATTTCATCACTTATTAATCTCAAAGAGACTCAGAGCCAGTGATCCTTTTATCCTGCTAAGGAACTTTTTAAAAAAGCAAGGACCACCAGGACATCACTCTCGTTTCTTATTTCATTCTCTGATGGTTCATGTTTTAAAATATATATGTATTGTATCATTCTGTTTCTTGGATAAAATTTTACCAAGGATCTAAACAAAACAAAAAAACCCTAGAAATTCAATGGTGAGATATATACATGACAGTGGAGTTCTTCTCAAACTGATAATGTTTAGGTTTTAAGCAAATAAAGTACCAGTTAATGTGAAACTCAATCACAAAGACTTGAGATTTTTCCTTTATGAAAACAGAGAATTGAGATTCTCCTAAGCTGTAGATGGACGTTCAGATCCCATGAACCATGCTCTCTTTTTATTTGGGGATAGAACATTTTCCTCTTCATCCACCTAGCTTCCCATTTCTTTGTAAAAACATGATACAAAATGCATTTCTCAGCTTCCTGCTGCTACATAGGACACCTCACACACAGCCCCCCATGCCTAGCAGCTCCGCCCTCCCATGTGATTTCTCCTGGCTCTCTTCAGTTCCTTCATATCCTGTCTTGGATGGGAGTATGTTAAGTGCTGCTCCCACAATCTTCAGTTTGCTTTCGACTTTATTTGGTGGTGCTCCTGTTTACTGTTCTTGTTGCTTAAATCAGGAGTTCAGAAACCATGTCTTTGGAGGCCTGTGTGTGGTTTGGTAACAGCTTTTCCATGCCTTACAAGCAGTCAGGAGACAGCTGTAGGCTCGATTCTCCACCACTAGGAGCAAGGTTTAGGGTGTTACTGAAATTTAGCCTTTATATCTACATTTGTTTCCTAATACCTTACATGGGTAATTTCCTTTCTATCTTAAGTCATAACGTATTTTTCCCTCAGCATGGCTTGCTTTCAGAGGATTCTAAGTCAAAGGGTTATTTAAGAAATGTTTTTACTCTGATTCTTAAGACACTTTAAGGAATATCCTTATTCTGTGATTTAAAAAAACAGCACCCAGTGACAGTCACGCCACTGTTGAACTGTGTGTTAAAGAATGAATTTGGAGATTTTAATACTTGGCCAAAAAGTGCAGAACTTGAGCATTAGCAGCAATTGGATTATTATCTTTCATGATGGTAACTTTGTTGTGAACTTTGAAATGAGGGTGTTAAAGATTATTCTACTTGCATTAGTAGGTTTGTTCAGGTATCTAATTTTAACAAGAAAGTTTGTGTTCAAGTAAAACACCTTATCAGTGTTTCCACCATGCACTTCTATTTTTAGGGGTTTATAACTTTAAGTCTTACATTCCTAGTAACATTTGGACTTTTCTTAGATTTTGATTCATGAAGTTGGGTGGGGGGGTTAAAAATTGAGCCTTGATATTTTATGTAACAGTCTTTTTATTATAATCTGCACTAACATCTCTGTGATCTACACCCATACTTTAGAGGTAACCATGTCTTCTAGTGTGCATTGGGTTGGGTTGCTTGGGATTGCTTTTTAAAAAACTGATTCTTGAGATTGAAGATGTATTATATATTTCTAATAGACTGGACAAAAGGATCTGTGTCCCCAAGTGAGACAGGCTCTGAATGAACTTTGTTTTCTCCACTTTTTATTGATGATTTAAAACACTCTAGTCTTCCCTTCAAATCATGCACGCGAGGAGAGGACAGCAGCGGTGTCTCAACTGGAAACAGGTGCTCAGTGTCAGGCCGGGCCGTGAGGTCGGGACAGGTGAGGAGCTCTAAGCTGATAGGCCCCGGCCTTAGGCACCAACCCTGACTGAATGCCCTCTTCCTCTGGTGTGACCATGGCCTCGTGGCCTCTTGGCGATGGCTTCACTGTCTTGCTTTGCAGCTCAGGAAGTAGGACGTTAACCCTGAAGGTGCTCGTTTGTGTTACCTGGATTCTCTGCCTTAGCTGTTAGGTTTACCTCTGGAACATGAATTTCGGCAGCTATGCTGACTGACACTACATTGTAGTTCTTAAGACTTTCTTTCCCTAGACCCTGCCCCCCGCCACAAACATACATCTAGAAAAGGGTCTCTTACGTTTTATTAAATCTAACTGCTGCTTTTGGTCCTCCTCACCTTAGATTGGACTCTATGGAGACATTTTAATTTTGGTAAGTGATAGACTTACCCTTTTTTCTAAAATATCTCCCTTTCATATCTCCACTTCCTATTGAGTCCATGAAAGAATATTAATGGGTGCATCCTCCTTTAGGGAAGTGGTGAGTGGAAATCTTGTAATCTGTAAGAATAGTAGTGGAATTCCTATGAAGGAGTTTTGATACTGGTTTTTGTTTTTTGTTTTTTGTTTTTTTTTTCACAATAACTGGTTTGCTCCAGGTTCAAACCTCAGTTCAACACTTACTCTTGGTACTGGTTTAAATAGAATGTCCTTATAGGTTAACTTGGAGGCTATAATGTAATAAAGTTGTGGCATTTGTGGATGTGGTCAGCCAAACCCAACTTGATGCTTTTTCTTTTTTTTTTTTTTTTTTTTTTTTTTTGCCCTCGTACATTCAAGTAACAAGTGGATGTTAGGGTTCTGGTTGGGAAGGAAGTAGTGCTTTTATTTAAACAAACCAGTTTGAGACATGCTTTGAGAGTGTTCAAAAGCAGAATTTCCTTCCAGGAGCAATGGGCAAAGCTTTCTAGAAGATCTTGTGGCTGTTGTAAGGAATGGGAGTCTGAGTAGCTCTTTCTGTGCCTGTACCACCGGTAGCTTTACTAAATAGAAACTCACCTTGGGAGTTTGGAAAGGAAGACACCTGAGTCTGGTCTTAGATTTAGATTTAGGTAGTTGGACAGAACAAGTAGTGGGTGTTTCCTGCAAGGGATAGGGGGAAAAATAAGTTGGTTGCTCTTGAGGTTAGAAAATTGTCCTTTTCTCTGCGTGAGAAGGGAGTTGGTTATGGTTTGAGTATTGGGACATCAAGCTGTCTATTAGCAAGCTTCAGTCCAACCCATTTTCCCTCTGTCTTGGGATAGACTTGATACAGGATGATTCTTTTTGAATCCATATCCCAAGTAACACTTATTTTTCAAAGCCTAATTCACAAAATTCACAGTGGTGCTGACTGTGTATTAACCACTATCGCGAGAAGTCCTATAAACCTGCCTGTTGCCATGCCAGTGGAAGGACTGACCTGTGACATCTGTCTGAGCATGCTTCGTGTGGCTGGTGGATGCCACCAATGTGCATACACTTTGTACATCGGGGTGAAGGGAGGGTTTTCTAGATTTTGGGGGGTGGGAAGGAGGGTAAAATTGGGATTTTTTTTTTTTGTTCTTTTTTCAATGGGATGTAGGGGTATAGTAAGCAGCTTATGCCCTAAATAACATGTATAAAAAAAAAAAAAAAAAAACAGAACCCTGAAGTATTGTGTGGACGTGTGTGTGAGTGTGTGTTTGTATAATGTCTGGCAATTAAACCTTTGTCTTCTGGAAATTAGTGGATTCTTTTCTTTTTTTTTCTCCAGAAGTATTTGTTACAAGATTTGTAAATAAGAGCTCTACTTAGTTTGTTTACCATGAACATGTTGCAGCAAATCTTATACACTTAGTTCCTGTAAGATTTAAGGAGAGACTTTAAGACTTGCCAGGTTAAGCAGCAGCCAAGTTCTCAGTAACTGTTTGCCTTGATGCATCTTTAAGACTTCATTTTGCCAGCTGTAAAACTCCCGGTCTCCCTTGATTTTAGTCCTTAATCTTTTGAGTTCTGAGCAGGAAGGGTAAAAGAGAGGAACCTGCTTACATGTGTTTAATCAGCCCGTGGGACTCGACCAGGGCTCTGGTGTTGCTGAGTGTGCGATCAGACTCTAGAGGGTTGGGCGTTCTTGCAGTACCTTCACAGTGCTGACACCTGCAGCATGGTACTTGAGGAGGTTCAAGTTTGAATGTAACCACTTTATTTAAAAGGGTTTTTTTTTTAATTTAAATAAAATGGGGTGGAAGTGAACATGATTTTGTTGACCATGTTTGTGAATATAAATGCAACATGCATTGGTAGGCTTGTGCGATGGTCTTTTGTGATACTTAATTTTTACATATCCCAGTCTCTGTGTGTTATCTGCATAAACAAAGACAAAACAAATTCCTGCTTTCTTTTATTGAAGGGTTTCCAGGACTGCGTGTCTGCTCCTGAGCTCTGTTTTAAGTATGTGTATCCTTTGCTTGTATTTTGTATTAAAAAATAAGAAAAAGAACCCTTTATCGTTGAGCATGTTGGCATCGTCCCTTTTATTTTTTTCTCTTTTTGGGACATATGAAGCAAGTTATTCTTTTTCTGTATCTTTTTTCTTTTGTAAACTTTTTTTTGTTTTGTTTAAAAATGGCTTTATAAAAGGGCTTTTATAACCCAGATGTGTGCTCTGTGTACTTCTTGTAACACTCTTAAGCAAATACCCTGACTTCCTATACGCTGATCACCTTGGCTTGTTAGCTCCTCACCCAGCCTGACTTGGAGGAAGAATCTGCTTCCCAACTGAATGCTCTAGAAACTAACAGTGATCACCACTGCTGTTGGGAGCAAAAGCATGTTATCTCACAAGTCAAACGTAGTTCATACTTTCTTCAGAGGCACTGTATTGGCTAACTTCTGATTAAAGGAGCATTGACCTATGTGCACAAGGATTCCTAGTTAACATTTTTCCTCAAGTGGTATAGGAGGCATAATTCATCATATAATTATATCAAAGAAGAATGTTTATACACAAAAGATACTTGCAATCGATTTCAAATACCCATTTGAATGACGCTGCCACTCCAAATGCTCTGGGGTGGAGAAGCTGGTACAAAATCCCTCTAAACTGAGCTGATAACAGCTGTCAGGGTTTTTATTCCTTCCAACCTTTGCCCTTGTTTACATTTATGTCTAATACAAATATTGTAATTCACATGCAAACTCACCTTGGCTTTGAATTTTTTTAAAAAAGATTTATTTATGCATACAAGAACTGGAGTACAGACTAGAAGGGAGAGGGTGTGTGAGAGGATTCACCAGAGACAGAATGGGGAGAAGAACAGGCGGATTGACTGAAACACTGCTGAGGGGAGCAGTGGGGGAGACAGGAGAGGTCTGCTGTGCCATGTGGGTCACCTCCTTGGCTGTAGACCAAATTCAATGTAATGTTATGTTGCAGTAATCGCAGATAGCTTCATAGTGCTAATCCTTAACTCCTTGCGCCACCAGGGAGGCCCGTTGGCTTTGAATTTAAATACAAATAAATTTTGCAAGCAGTTATTCCTCCGGGACTACATTTATGGTGAAGGTTGGGGGGAGGGGAGAGGAGTGGCAGAGAAAAAATGTTAACCAGCCACACTTCCTCACAATCTACTGTAGGTGTAGCCTCCCCGGTGGCGCAACGGGTTGAGCTCAGTGCTGTAAAGCTGTCCACAATCTACTGTAGGTGTTTTGTGATTAACGTACCACATTTCTGTTTCAGTATAATGCTAAAGAAATAAGTCTGGTTTGGAAGATTTCAAAGCCGTCAAGTGCACAAATACAGAGGTATACAAGTTGGGTTAGGTATGAACCTCCTCAGCTTCCTAATTGATGCATGAGTGTTACTAGACCACTTTAAAAAAAAAAAGATTTACAGTAGAAGATCTGGGGTGCAGGCCAGACTTTGGTGGGGGGTGAAAGGATTCACTAGAGACAGAGTGGGGAGCAGAACAGGAAGAATGACTGAAGTACACTGCTGAGAGAAGATGGCAAGACAGCAGAGGTCTGCTGCACCATGTGGGTCAGCTCCCTGGCCAGGTATGAATTCAGGCCAGCATGGTGACAGCACTGAGACTTAACCCCTAGACCACCAGGGAGGTCCTAAAATATTTTATGTTCTAGTTATTGCGGGAGCTTGTATTATTGTGTGCCTCAACTATTCTGTGTCTTTGCCTTCTTGATTCTTTGCTTTGACTATTGTGTGCCTCTCAGTGTGCAGAAACAGGGAAAGTTGATAAGGAACCTCTCAGGACAAAAGCGCTGGTATGAGGATCCATACATGCTAAAAACAGCATGTGCAGAGACAGGGAAAGTTTAAGACAGGGAACATCTCAGGGCAAAAGTACTGGTGTGAGGATCTATAAATGCTGAAAACAGCATGTGCAGAAACAGCAATAGGTGTTACGTCTAGAGTAGCATAAACACTGAGACTTTCCTTGGCTTTCTCCTTATTTTTCAACCTTGGCTGGTGCCAGCTGGTTATGCATCCCCCATATACTTGTGCATTCCCCATATACTTGTGCTGGTTTCTTTGATCTTTTTATTTTCTGTCCGATTCTAAATAAAAACGAGACTGCCCTTGGAGCTGGGCTGCACTTTCTTGGTGGAGTCCCTCTAGGCTTCTCATTCCATTTTCATCCCACCACCGCAAGTCGTAATGAGGCAAGTTGTGTCTTCATATATATATACATATATATATATGAGTACACAATTTTTTTTATATAAGATGGGGAAATAGTAAACTTTTCTCAGATTTTATTAATGTGACAGTCATTTGCATAACTAGAACTTTAGGGAATCTTTTTCACACCTCCATACGGGCACATGCTTAATTTACCAAGACCCTGACAATGTCCTACTCCCCCTTAATCCCTCCCCCCATTATCTGTAATAACCAGTGTATTTTTTTTTATTAAAGAGTTATTTATTTATTTATTTATTTATTCATTTATTTATTCATTCATTCATTCATTCATTCATTTATGCAAGCACTGGGTACAGTCAGAAGCGCGGGAGGGTGAGAGAATTCACCAGAGCGGGAAGCAGAGCAGGCAGAAGGACCGAAGCACACTGCTGAGGGGAGCAGCGGGCGGCAGGAGAGGTCTGCGCGCCATGCGGGACCCTCCTCCAGTGGCCGGGGAGCAGCTGGGGATCGAACTGGCGCCGTGGAGGCTGCGGGCAGCTTTGCAACCCAGCGCTCAACCTCTGCGCCACCGGGGAAGCCCAATAACCAGTGTATTTTTCAGAGTCTCAGAATTATTTGTGCTGTTTTTGCCAGTTCATTTTCTTGGGTTATTTATATTCCACAAGTAGGTGAAACCATCTGGTATCTGTCTTTCACTTTCTGACTATTTCACTTAATACAATCACCCCAAAATCCATCCATTTTGTCCCAAAATGCATTATCTCATCTTTTCAATAATGGAGTCACATTCCTCCATGTACAATATTCCACAATTTCTTTATCCAGTTGCCTGTAAGCACTTATGGTGGTTTCACAACTAGGCTAGTGTGAATATGCTGTGTGAGCATAGGAGTACATTTTCACACTAGACTTTTCACATTCTGTGTAAATACCCAGCAATAATATTGCTGGATCCAATGGCTTTACAATTTTTTTTATATGTTTCAGTTTATTTTTTTTAAAGGACAAGTGCTTTTTTTTTTTAAAGATTTTATTTATTTTTGCATAGAAGAACTGGGGTATATTCCAGAGGTACGGGGAGTTGAGAGAATCCGCCAGAGACAGAGTGGGGAGCAGAACAGCTGAAATACACTGCTGAGGAGAGCAGTGGGCGAGACGAGAGAGGTCTGCTGCGCCGTGTGTGTCAGCTCCCTGGCTGGGGATCTAACTCAGGCCGTAGCGGTGGGCATTGACAGTGCTGAGTGAGATCCAACCCCTTGGCCACCAGGGAGGCCCAAAATTTTTTTTTTTTTTTTGAGGATTCTATACCGTTTTCCAGCAGTTGCACCAAATTACAGCAGATGAGTGGTCCTTTTTCTCCACATCCTCGCCAACCTTTGTTTTCATTCCTTTAAATACAGGCCATTCTTACAAGGATGAGGTGATATTTTATTGTGGTTTTTATTTGTATTTCTGTTATAAGTGATATTGAATATTTTTTCATGTGCCTGTAGGCCATCTAAATGTCTTTGGAGAAATGTCTATTTAGGTCTTTTTTCCTTTGGATTGTTTCTTTTGTTGTTGAGTTGTATGAGTTCTTTATATATTTTGGAAATTAATCCCTTGTCAGATGTGTGCTGTACAAATACCTCCTCCTAGTCCACAGGTTCCCTTTTTGTTTCCATGGTGGTTTCTTTTGAGGTACAACAGCTGTTTAGTTTGATGTAGTGCCATTTTTTATTTTGCTGCATTTGACATTGGGGTTGTATCCCCAAATACATCTCTGCAATTGATGCCAGGAGCATATCACCTATTAAATATTTTATGGTTTCAGGTCTTATATACAAGTCTTTAACCCATTTTGAATTACAGCTCATGTATGGAGTTAAGTAAGGATCTAGTTTCATACTTTTGTTTTGGCTGTCCAAGTTACCCAATACCATTTGTTAAAAATGCTTTCCTAGCTGTGTGGAGATTCCTCAACCTACTAAAGACAGAGCTTCCATATGATCCAGCAGTTCCACTCTTAGGTATTTTTACCCAAAGGACACAAAAACATCAATTCCAAAGAGCACCTGCACCCCTATGTTTATAGCAGCACAATTTACAATAGCTAAGCTTTGGAAACAACCCAAATGCCCAAAAATAGGTGACTGGATCAAGAAGATGTGGTCCATATACACCATGGAATATTACTCAGCAATCAAAAAAGATAAACACATGCAATTTGCAGCAACATGGATGGAGCTGGAAGGGATCATGCTCAGCGAAATAAGCCAGAAAGAAAAATACCGGATGGTCTCACTCATAGCAGGAATCTAGAAAACCTAAATAAGGGACCAGGAAAAAGAATAACTATAAGAAAGAAAAAAATCAAAATCAACAAACAACTATGAACCAGAGACACACTCAGAGGGGGCGGGGAAAGAAGGGATTGGGGTCAAAATCAGGGGGTTGCAATTGTATGGGGAATATCAAAATAAAAAAAAAATGATGGCCAAAAAAATGCTTTCCTGTCTCCATTCTATGGTTGTAGCTCCATTTTCAAAGATAAACTCTGTATTTGTTTGGGTTTCTTTCTGGACTCTATTCTACAGGTCTGTGTATCTGTTTTTGTTCCAGCACCATACTGTTTTGATTACCATTGCTGTATAGTATATTCTGATAGCCGAGTATGTGACAGGGAATTTTTTTCTCTCGTGATTGATCTAGCTATTTGGGGCATTTTGTGGCGCAACTCAACTTTTATAATTCCATTTCCTTGAAAAAAGTCATTGGTGTTTTGATAGGTATTGGTTGAAACTCTAAATTGCTTTAGGTAAGATGGACATTTAAACAAAGTTTATTCTTCCACTCCATGAACACAGGATATCTCTCTAATTCTTTATTCTTCTTTTAAATCCTGTAATGGTATTTTAGCATTTTTTTAAAAGATTTATTTTTATTTATTTATACAAGCACTGGGTACAGTCAGAAGCGCGGGAGGGTGAGAGAATTCACCAGAGCCAGAGCA